TATATATATATATGAAATGGTTCATGTGCGTGGAGAGGTTTTCGTGCGGTTATGCGAAGGAACGCATCTTAAGTATTAAAATGGTGTATCTTAAGTACACAACCCACGTACCTTAAGCACACAAACAACACACCTTAAGAACACAAACCACGCACATTAAGCATACAACAAAGCATCTTAAGAACACAGACCAGGTTTTAAAAATGGTTCACTTTAAGTTTCACACAACTGACGCACCTTAAGGAGGAAAACAACGCACATTAAAAAACACACGCACCTTAAGTTTCAACAACTACTCACATTAAACACAAACCCACGTTCCTTAAGCACAAAACTCACGCACCTTAAGCATAAAACACACGCACCTTAAGCACAAAACTCACGCACCTTAAGCACAAGACACACGCAACTTAAGTACAAAACTCACGCACCTTAATCCCAAAAATCACTCATCACCTTAAATTTGACCTAGATGCAAAAATTACCAAATTGCCACCGCGATTTTTTTTTTAAAAAAAAATTTTAATAATCTTGAACGTTGATTTAAGCAAGATCAATGGCTCAGATTTAATTGTACAACTGCAAGGGAACTTATATATATATATATATATATATATATATATATATATATATATATATATATATATATATATTAAACAAGTTAAAATTAAAAAGAATGGAGGGGATTCCTAGAGTTTTGGTTTCTACCTAAAATTGGTATTTGCATTCTAGTCTCTAGAGGACAAAAACCCAAAACCCAAACAAAAATGGACAAAACAAAATAACGGTAGAAAACATAACAAATACGTACAAAAAAATTCTAGATTTAAAGATAAAAATGAAGATAAAATAACTAACCAAATATTATATTACCACATAAACAAATAGATATTTTGAGAGAAATATAACATTGCTTTTAATTAAAAGAGATCATTTTTAAAGCTAAGCGTTATATTCTAACAAAAATAAGAATGCTATAATAAGTTTCCCTTAACAATGTGCATCCAAAAAAAAAGGGCATAGAAGTGTGATATATGCAAATTTAGCATAGACATGAGTGCACTAAATTCAAGTGCAGTGGCAATGATTTCAATACCAAAGTTATTGAATCAACTTTTGTAGTAAACTAAAGAAGAAGTACCCATTAGGGAAACTTAGCTAACCTTAACAATAATAATAAGCAACAACATAAAACCCATCCACATGCCTTCATAAAGTGAATGTAGATTAGGTTTGTTTTTTAAGATAAGCAATGTACATGTGATTAAAGTGGAAAGGGTAGTGTCTCTACCATACATACACTCCTTTCTAAAGATGATGAGGGTAGTACAAAAAGGACACATGCCCGCAATTGCTCAATGCATAATATAATGCAACGACTAATAATTAGTGTATAGTAACCTTCAAAAAAAAAATAATTAGTGTATAATAGGTATACACTGTAGTTTTACTTCAACACAACTACAATTTTATATCAATTCAATTGCATTTTCATTTGATAATATAATAAAAATAATACGTGAGACAGTGCCGGTTTAGATACACTATAGTGTCTGTCGTTTTGGACCATGGTCTATAAAACTTTGTGGACCGCGGTCCACAATATAATTGCTGGATACTACTTGATCATCCCTCCAACGTTTTATCAATTTCCAGTTATCATTGAGGATTTTCTAATGTATAGTCATTCTTAAAGATCATTTAGTATCACATTTACACATAATTAGTTGACTAAAAGTGTCATTTATTAACAAATTTACAAATAAATGGGTTGTTTTGCAATATTCAATACATCTATTAGTATAAACAAATTTGGCCCGTAAATGAGTTTTCAACAAAGTATAATCCACATGTAGTAGTGTACTACATTTCAATATTTTTGTTTGCATTTGATTTCAAACTAATACTTAACTATTACATAGTGTTGCACTATTTGTTATTGTCATTCTATAAGAAATTTGGAGATATATTTACTTCTAGAATATATAATTAATATAGAGTAATAATGTTCATCAGTCATGGGGTACGGTGTTTTGCGCAATAGGCATACTTGTGACTAGTAATAATATAAATACATTTTCTTTTACTAAAAAAGAAGATTCGACTTTTACCATACAGAGAGATTGCTACTTTTCCAGAATACTTACAAAGCAAATTACGGATCACAATCAAATACACTGAGAATTAATATAATACTAGCTAGTAGATCGTACACAATCACTTGTCATATTTTTGTAATTTTGTCCAATAATACATCCCTTGTGACACTTTACATATTATTTTTGAGTACTATGAGTTGATTAAACATACATGTCACCCTCTTTTCCCTCCAATTTTAATCAAATTTGAGAAAATTCATTCAAAACAAGTGCAATCTTCTCAAGGGAATTCTAGGCTCAATCTTTATATACTACGAGTATATAATCACTTTTTAGTTTGGATTTTGAAAATTTATAATTTTCTTTCCGTTATAATGGAGAATGACTAAAAGTTGAATGAAGAATCAAGAGTGACATGAATATAATAGATTAATAGTTGAAGACTAAAATTAATTAAGTGACAAATATAATGAGCTTTTTTGTGTGGATGATATTTAGGATAATCTGAGTTCGATTCTTACCAGTGACAATTCCCTTTCGACCAACTCTTATATCTCGCGAAATCGGACGGACGAGATTAATCGAGTGTAGTGGACCCGGACCATAACACAGGCGGAGATAGACACCCCCACAAAGTGAGATAGCTAGAGAGGGACATGTAGGAATATTATAATGCAGAAGACTCTTGTGTTGCAGTAGTGCCCACATGTTCCCTTTGGAACATTAAAAAAGAAAAAAGTAATGACAAGAAGGGTTGGAAAACAAAATAAAATATATAAAATAAAAAATATAAAAAAGAAAGGAATTGGAGAATCAAGCTTTGGATCTATTGGCTTTCTTGAATATGGACTTTACCCACATTTGGATTCGAGTTTTTTTTTTTTTTTTTTTTTTTTTTTTCCTGTGAATAAGCACACTAGAATACTATATAGTATTACTGTTATGTTACTGTTCCAGACATCATCTGATTTTCAAAACACAATTTTCCTTCCCAAGAGAACAATATTCTATATCATATATAGTAAAGTGATAATACATAACATGGAAAATGACAACAACAAGATTAGCCAGAAAAATGCAAAGAGCCAGATTTCATCAAACCCCTTCCCTAGGTGCACTGCAGACAACCTCAATCATGCACAAGAATTACTCAATTACTATTTTAATTCAACAACATTAGAACATCATGCTGCTAAAATAATATTAGACTAGAGATTGTGATTTCATGTATATACATAACTATATCTCTAGTTGTTCCCAAAACAAACATAGTATTGTGTTCGGAACAATCCTAGCGAAGTTGGTCAAAAGTTAGTTTCGTAACTATAAAGTTTAAAGTTCGATCTACTTCCCGTGGGAATTATTTATTGATCTTTTGTTTTGAGCCGGTCAGCTATAACAGCTTAAAGTAGCTAGTTTATCTCATTTTGGTCCTTTGCTGATTATAGTCATAAGATGGGCTTTTATCCAGAGTGAACATCTGAACAAATAATAGTATTGTGTTTCAATCCATGCATGATTATGGTTCCTAGGTGAACTACTATGTTGGAACTTGGAATTAAACCCCTACCCATCAAACCCCTACTCATCAAAGCCTAGTTAGTTTGGAAGGTTTAATTTAATTCCTACCGCACAATTGGCCGAAACTACTATATTTGAATTATACCCGACCCAACATATCAAAGCCTAGTAAATTTGGAAGGTCTGATTCTTATTGAACAACCCGTCAAGACTATTGTGTTGGAATTATACCCCGACCCATCAAAGTCTAGTCAGTTTGGAAGGTTTAATTTGATTCCTACTGAACAACTGGCTGAGACTACTATGTTTGAATTATACCCGACCCGTCAAAGCCTAGTCAATTTGGAAGGTTCGATTTCTATTGGACAACTCGCCAAGACTACTGTGTTGGAATTATACCCGACCCATCAAAGCCTAATTAATTTGAAAGGTTTGATTCATACAAAACAATTGGTCGAGACCACTATGTTGAAACTATGCCTCGACTCATCGAAGCCTGCTAGTCAGTTTGGAAAGTTTCATTCCGAACAATTAGTCAATCATTTGACATCGTAGTTACATTTGTAACTCACTTACCAATTATCTCAAATTACTAGGTTTTTCCTCCTAGATTTGGTGGCATAGACTATAGATAGCTAATGCAACTTATCAAGAAAGAGGTGAAGAGATGCAAGAAATGAAGTGGAAATTACCCACTCAAACACACACACATATATATACAGCTTTATTAACAACTCAGAAGAAAGGAATAGATGTGGGGAGCTTTAAGCCTTTAATTCCATCAAACAATTAAAGCAGAAAGAAGGCTAGCTACTAGCAGTATTCCCATAGAGTGCCATTACTACTGCATCTACCTTAGTCATTCACTTCATCACTTCCTTGTCCACCATTGAAGTGAGGGGAAAGAAATTAAAGAAAGAAATGCAAAGAAAGGTACATTTCAATGAATTCTGACTCTGAAAAAGCATTCACATTTCAGAGAACATGCCCAGCAGTGAGAGAGTGAGTGAGAGCAAGAGAGAGAAGATGAGTCCTCCCCCATTTCAATCAATCCATCCCTCTTTGTCTGTACACTCAAGATTCAAGAATTGAAGAAACTCATTAACCACAATGTTACAAGTCGAGTTGTCTATTGACCTTCTTGATTTGAGTCAGATAGTTGTAGACAACCAGATAATAGTGACTGTGAGTTTCTCTTAACACTCAAAAAAAAAAAAAAAAAATATTAAAGAAGAAGAAGACACATTTCTCATCAGCTGCAGCTAATCTCTCTCAACATTTTCTTGACCTCAGAAGCCATTAAAAGCTGCTAGCTTTGCACACTACAAATAATGGTATCAGAAGAAGAATATAGAGAGCAAGAAAACACAATAACTCATGTAGAGCCACATCAAGAGGGCTAGTTTCAGAAAACCCAGAAAAAGGAATATGTCATAAGGGTACATGCAATACAGCCAGCCTTAACATAACTTCATCTTAACATGCACCCACAATATTACTCCATTTCAGAGACAAGAAGAACTCCATAGAAATTAATGCTACTACTGCTACTACTAGTCATCATCATCATCTTCCATTCATGGAGTCAGCTGGCAAGAAAAAGAAGAAGAAGAAAAAAAAAGCCCTAGTTTTTGGCCTAATCTAATGATTTTCACCACTAAGTTCCCCAGAAAAAGCACAGATTTTTATCATGGAATGCCCTAAAAGTGGAGATAAATTGTCAGGGTGTTCATCATCTTCGATCTCCATGTTTTTTGTTTTTTGGATTTTTTAAGGTTTTTTACCGAGGGTGTGCTTGTTGTTGTGCATCCAGACCTTGAAAACGTGCCTTCTAATGCCGTAATCGTTGCAGAGCTGCTGCACCGCCGCCTCGTCTTGCTTCTGAATCCGCCACTCCAGCTTCTCCGCCAGCTCGAACATTTTGTCCTTTTGCTCCTGGCTGAACTTTGTTCTGAACCGTTTCTTCGACGCGCCGCCGCTGTTCGGGTTCGATAAGTCCATGTCATCCATCATTTCTTCTCTGTAAGCGGCGGCGCCGCCGCCGGAGGTGGAGGGAAGCGCGAGAGGGCGGTGCTGGGGCGGAGGGAGGTGGTGGTGGAGGTACCCGGTTGGGTGGGGGTGGTAGCCGAAGTGGACTAGGGCGGTGGCGGCGGCGGCGGTTTCCGTCTCCTTGCGGTGGAAATTGCGGTGGCAGTTACAGGCGGCGCATTTGAGGGCGTCGACGCTGCCGTCCTCCCCGGCGGCCATGAACTCGCCGCAACCGTCCACCGCGTGCCCGCCGATCCCCACCGCGTGGTTCCTCAGGCACTCCCTGTACCGCGGCTTCCTCATCTGAAGTGGCGCCATCACTCCGCCGCCGCCGCCGGGGCTCATGGACGCCATTTTCGGCTGAGTTGGCTTCGAGTTCCCCAGCGAGTCATAACTCGCCCCCATCTCTATATCTCCTTCTTCTCCCTTCTGCTCCTCTTGATCCTCAAACTCCATGCTTTCTTCTTCTCTTAGCTCTTAGCTCTTCTTATACTTAGCCAAATCGTACGCTAATTTCCCCAACTAATTATCTTCCGTAATCTCCATTCACCACTCTCTCTCTATATATACCTCTGTATATCTAACCTTAACCACAACAAGACAACCACCGGCAACATAGTAATGCCGGTCTTTTTCACTTCTCACTTTTTTTTTTTTACCACTACCCTTTACTTTCTACTATTCAATAATTTCCACAAACTATCCGTTACTCAATTGCTCTCAACAACAAGCCATGAGATAGCTATCCATCAAGGTTAAGCCGGTAACTTTGTTGCCTGAAATTTTGTAAGCGAGTTATTAAAATTCTAATATTTTGTGATAGCAAGTCATTAATGAATTTTTGGATTTGATTACATCAAAATAAATTGTTTTTTTTTTCTTTTTGTAAGGGTGTGTTAAAAATTCCCTAATCGTATGATGGCACTTTTAAGCTCGTATCATACTCAGACTTATTCCTATTTACACTGGATCGATCCAATTAAGTGACAAAATTCTGACCAAATTGATTTTTCTATACCAAAGATGGTTCAAACTTTGGACCTCTTTTTAAAAACTAGAATGCACAACCATTCATGTCAACCAAATAAATTTTTCATATAATATTCAAACTTTAAATCTCACCTAGAGGGAGGCATAGTGACGCAATGAAGTTCCCAAATTAGAGAGGTAATGAGTCTGCTTTACCAAAATTAGGGTGAGATTCTCTCTCTCATACCCAAAATGGATGGGCGACCGGCTACCGCCGGTCAAAGTGGCGTGATTGACAGATCGCCATTGCTTTCACCGCACGGTAAGTAAAAGCTTCGATGGAGGGGAGGGGACCGTAAAAAAATTCGGGACCGTGGGTCCCACCTGTACAGGGTAGGTGGCAGCACGGCAGCAGATCAGATAAAACCCAACAGTGCTCCACGCGCCCCCGCCCGCGTCCCGGTCACGACATCGGCGTTGGGCGTTGGGATTATTGATTAAGTAGCGTTCGTCTCAGTGTTTTGTCCGTTTTGTCCCTAATAAGTAAACGGAATACATACGCGTATGAAGGAGGGCACGGGAATAACGTAGGAAAAATTGAAGGTGTCGGTATTTGGGGTCGGGTGGTTGGTGGCTCACCGGCTTACGTGCGACCTTCTCGGCTTAGGATTTTAATGTTTTTTTCTTCTTCCAAGAGATGTCTTATCTTAATTAATTCATTCAATTTTTTTTGTATGTTTAATAATATTTTTAAATATATAAATTTCATATAATAATATTAATTTGTTTAATACTATTGACTCTATTACAATGCAGTATATGTTTATAACTACTTTCTCAATTTATCAAAACACAAAAAAGTTAATATCGTCCCCACTGAGTCAAGTAACTTGGTGCTACTAGACCACAAGGTCTTTGGTAATATATTTGTAAAGTCTAAATTTCATTTCATATAATAAATTCTTTTCTATGAATTAAATGAGTTGTTGATAAGGTATTTATATCTATGTTTTTACTCCATGTTTGAAACTATTTTGAGTGTTAAATATTTTAATTTTATGCAAAATGTGCCTTATTTACATTCTTCTAAAAGGTTGAACCACAACCCATGTGCTTTATTTACATTGTTTATATTATTAGGTGTAATAACAGTTGATTTGGAGAGCATCAAGCATATTTTGCCCAATTTTAGATCGACAAGTTTCAAATGGGCATTGTTTAATGGTTCAATTGGCAGTATTTACGAAAAAAGACCAAGGTGCGAATCTCAGCGGCGACAATGTGAGAGTTATGCCCAAAGTGAGCAGGTCCTTTGTGCGGACCAGCATTTGACCATGTCTGAGCCATTGAGTCGCCGTGATTTACATCCTTCCACATGCTATGTCGGGCCGGAGTGTGGGACGCCAAGGATTGGAATTTAACCTCTTGAAAAAAGAGTATTAGAAGAGATCAAGGACACCAGAGCCGACCTAGATGTGCACGTTAAGTGCACAAGCGTACACACGAATGTTCACTTACTAACCTAAAAAATTGTGCATATTGTAAACATTGTTTTTATATAATAGTCTACAAATCATACATAAGATATCCCCTCTTTATACTTATATTCAAACGGAAGAAATCATGCATGCAACTAAACGACACACCAAAATGTATATAATTAATTGCATTGCAAAATCATGGTTCTACGGAAAGCATAAATTCTCTAATTGGTCTGCACATTTTTAGAAAAAGAAAATAACCCATTTCCCATCCATTTTCGTTAGGTTTGTGAAATGAAATGCAACAGCTAACAATTTGGGATTGGAAACCTTTTTTTCTTTTTTCTTTTTTTTTTTCTTTTGTTTTTTGGTTTTTCCTATGATTATGTTGGAAATTGAAGTAATCAAAGTGCGACTTTAGGACCACGTACCATTGCTTCTTCCATGCATGAACTTAAAGCTTTAAGTTCATATACCTTGGGTTATACTCATGCTTGTTTTCTGCAAACAAAATAAAGCCGGCCTGCTTTGGCAAACTTTAAATTAAAGGTTTTGTAATATTTATGTTTATTATATTTTTATTCAAATTTACATTTTTAATGTTGAATTATTATTATTATTATTATTATTATTATTATTATTATTATTATTATTATTATTATTATTATTAACTACTTGTTTATAATTATGACATAATTATATTAATAATAAAAATAAAAACAAACAACAACTACTAGGATGGTGATAATAATAGTAACTTTTAGATTCAACTTATTTTAAAATCTAAATCTGAAATTAATAAACAAGTCCTTAATTATAAGCCATTTTATATGTTACGGAGTATATGCTAATAAAAAATAATTAAATTATCCTTAAAAAAATAATTAAATTATCAAATATTTTTTACAGACCATTAAGTCAAAACAACTAATACAAGTAGCTATTAATTATTATTTAAAAAAAAAAATAGAACTTCATTAGGTCAGGTGTTCAATACAAATAGGAATTGAAGAAAACCATACAAGAGACCAGTTTGAGAACGAGCAACCCTAACTAGAGCGTGGACAACGTTATTCACTGATCTAGAGATGAAACTAACGTACTGACACTACTTCAAAGTGTCTTTAAAAATTCTTGCATTCATTGATAATGAGCTATTAATTATTAGTTATCCACTAATTGCCAACACCTCATTATTCTTCTTCTTTTCTTCTCTTCTCTATTCCCTCCATTTTCCCTTTTCTTCTTCTTACATCTCTTTCTTTAATTGCCATATATAGAATAAGTATTTTGTTTTTTCATTTAAAATTTTGTCTGCTAAATTCAAAAATTTTCAAATTTCCAATTAACTGCTAAAATTTTCTAACCACCAAAAAGATGAAAATTAGGATTTTTTAATTTTTTTTTTTTTGTGTCTAAAGTTCAAAAGTTCTTGTCCACCCAAGTAAAAAGTGGTCGAAAAATAAGAGATTTTTCAATCATGTACTAAATATGAAAAAAGCGGAGTATTTCAATAATATCAAGTGATTTTTTTTTTATAAGAATAATTTTTTTTTTTTTTTTCAAATTATCCCTCCCCCCCTCCCCGAAGTTACCGAAGGCAATAACACTAAAAGTTTTTCCCTATAAAAGTATAGATATTATTTTTTTAAAACAAATGTTACAAGACAGTCACATTTTGATATGAAACCACTTTTCTCTAAATTGGAGTAAACATGAATGGTTGTAAGGCATGTGAGTGTGGCAGGGGGTGCAACAAAAGTTGGGGTTGGGTTATTGAGTGATTTCATATATATGCTAGTAGTATTGGCCCCATGGCTAGGACTTGCAGTACAAATAATAATTAAGGTTGGGAAAACCCCAACCGAATTTGTCCAATAGTTGATTTGATCACTGCAAAATTTTAAGTTCTACTCTCTATTAGAACTGCCTATTGATTTTCTTGGTTTTTGCCAATCAGCTATGGACAATCTAGACTAGTTGATCTCCTTGTTGTTATTTATCGGCTAAGGTCACAAGACGTGTGTTTCACCACATGTAATGACTATGAGTTCTCCCGTAAATCAAAATAATCAAAGTTAAAGATATTAAATAATGATAAGTGCTAAATTTAGGGTAGCCATGTCTAACTCTTTTCTCCACTAGCATCATGCTTCCACTGAAATGGCAAAAACCCTCATCTCTACTTTGCTTTTAATTTGTCTCAACATCTCCCTTTTAATGAATCTGTGTCTGTCACTCACACGCTGCCCCTTTCCCCGTACCATATATCTTACCATTTCTTTACGAATATATTAGTTATGATTTACAAAAACTCATGAGTTTTTTTTTTTTTTTTTTTTTTTTTTTTAACGTCTTTTTGTAATAAAGCAAGAAAATTTGAAAACGTTTCATGACCGTTCCGTAATGAAACAAAAATTAGAAACACATTTTTAAATGAGAAAATTATAAGGTTCTAAACAATAATAGTGCCTCTTGTACCCTGTATTACCTCAAAAGAATAGTTAATGCTTTATGTTTATACGGGGTACTTCGCGCCCATTCATTGAGTCCCTGATGTTTACAAGGAAAAATAACTCAATTGTATTTATATAAACAACTCGAAAGCTTATTTTGCGCTTATTCCTTATTAATTATTATCCTCAGATAAATAGAGAGCGAAAAAAATAAAAACACACATTTAAACTTTAAAATATAAAGAGGTAGAATTGTGACAGGCCGGGTTGTTATGGTAATACCAAGTACTCGGTCCTATAGACTTTAATGTTATGAGGTATGCTAAGGCGAAACATTAAATGGGGCGGTTACCCTATATTGTCTTGTTTCTCACGAGGATACAACAACAAAGGTCAAACCAATCTGCCTCACGCACTGCTTTCATCATTAAGGCCAACCTGAAAACGGGTTGTTCAGACCTGAAATAACAATATGAGTTCCAGTCATAACTCAGATAAATTACTGAGCTTCCAGTTCCAGTTCATTAAAGATTTGAAGCCACTCCAACTGCACATAAAACCATATAACAAAGTAGAGAGAGAGAGAGAGAGAGAGAGAGAGATCGCCTAAAATGACAAAATGAAGTGAATTACTGATTGGGAAACCAAAGAAGACTTGACAACAGGGCAAGGGGGAAGAGCAAAGATCTTGAGCAATATGGACAAAATATGAGGAAAATGCCCATTGTATTGTTTCTAA